CTCAATCACATTTGACTCATACAAACCATACAAGAAGACCGAGAGGCATAGGTGATATTTTTCCTGAAAAAAATAAAATGTAAGTAACACAGTAAGTTTTGTTAAGCAAAAGGGGCATAAGCAAACTCCAGTACTACCATATCTTGGAAGGACCATATTGGAGCACAAAAAGAATACCAGAGTGGAATTAACAACATTATGTTGGTCACTACGTACATTGGCCAATGAGTCTAAACACTCATTTCAAAAAGTGTTTGAGATAGAGGACATAGCAACAAAACCAATGTTGCTTAAATAAATTAGGGAGAAATATCTGCCATACAATGAGTAAGATTAAGTAATAATGTACTTGGAGCTAAACAAACATATAATTAACCAAAAGAGCAACTAATACTTCAACTTACATATTAGATATAACTAAAACAATCTAATCTCCATTGTAAAATTTCAGTGCTTGCATGTTCATGTCTGTTGTCATTACCATCTATAACTAATTGACCCATGCTTTTACCACTATATTCTTCCCACTAAGATACCAGGATATGCACATTACATTTATTTGATTTCAATAACAATATACTATATAAATCTTTCTGGCCTAAAATGATGTACAATAGCACTTAAGTATTGCTATGCTAACCTAAAACCCTTAAAGATCATTATTACTCATGTAGTTAACACAAATTATTTTCCTGCGAGATAATAACTCACCTTTTCTACATTCTACCTATTGATGCCTCCCTTCTCTGTTCAATGATCTCACCAAATTGCACCTGCCTTCCTCATTGCTATTTCTTCTTAGCTCCCTTTGCCCAAAATCTATAATTATCAAACGAGAACATCTTTCAATTTCCTTCTAAGGTAGCTTTAACTATATTAACAAAAGTAAAAAGAACACAAAATAAAAATACTAGCTTTTTTAACTCCAAGAGGCTTTTGTGTCTCAATCGAAGGTCCTTCCAATGATGGCGACGGCGATTGGATTCCAAATGCCCAAATTCCAAACCTCATTTTGCAAGTTTCCTTCATAGCCATATATCCTTACTCTGTGATCTAGGTTTCAAACACCTCCCTCAATTTCTTGCCCACATTTCCTTAGCGACCACCATCACAACTGAATCTCAAGGGGATTCATATATGGGTAATTTGGGGGGAGTCTACAATGCTAGATCTCACCCATTCAAGTGTTTCCACTAGTGATTTTTGCTGGACAAGCGAGGGATAAACATGTCTTCAAGTTTATTTGATTTTATTTTTCAAACAGACCGAGTGTGTCAAGAGGTTGTCGATCCAAAGGGTAACCCTATCACTATCCTAATAAATAATAATAACAATATCCCTTTCTCTAACACCCTAATTTTCCATTCGTTTCTAATTTCTTTCAGCCTCCTAAATCCCATTTTGCTTTTCCATCTTCTCCTATTCTCCCACTCTCTAATTAAATAACAATAATGCTCATATATTACTTCTATTTTATTCTCTCGTTAGATTACTTCTATTCTATTATACATCATGAATTTTTTTATGGGTAAATTTTTATAGATTCTTCTTACCAAGAGCAACAGAGAGATATAGAAGCTAGAAAAGGTGGTGCAAGAACAAAAATAGGTTGCATACCAGAGGGATCTTTTGCAGATCATCGTTGACTCTATGCTTCATGTTGTTCCCAATGAAGCAGAAAATTATGATTGCTTACAAGGTTTGACCTAGATTTATATTGGCATCCTAATTATGTTAGTTTGCTAGGAAAATAATTTAGGGTTTATATGGGTATTTTCTTACTTGCAGGTTTCAGGTTTGCCATTCCTTTGGTAGGGGAATTGGGTCTAATTTAAGAACCCTTCTGATTTGCAAGACGAGGAAGGAAGCAAGCATGGTTGTTGGTTGTTGGTTGTTGAGATTTTGTATTAGAAGAAATTCAAAACACTCCCTAAATCTGCTGAGTAGATTTTGATGGGTTAAGGTAAGGGCATATAAGTTAATAAATAGATCAGAAATGTTTTTCGATTCAATAGCTACCCAGCATAGCTATTGGAAAACACAACTGTTAAGGATCTTTATGGTTCTAATAGTTGACAAAAATTATTTACCAAACATTTATATTTGGCTGATTAAGACTGAAAAACTACCAAAACCAAACTGCTTCCAAACTTTCAAAACAAACAACCCCTTAGTGTTTAATTATAGCTGTTAGAATTTTAAAGTTCATGAATTTTAAGATTATAGTTTTCTAAGATTTAGAATATGATAATATTGCTTATTTGCCTTATTTTTTGAAAATTAAGAGGAATATTATTTTAAAATTACATCATTTTAATAAATACATATTGAAAAAATTAAAATATCTTATTTTTAAAACATAAATGAAGATATTTTTTATCTTTTTCTCTCCTAATTTTTTGAAGATAATGTGAACAAACACTAACCCCTTAAAATATAATAAGATTTTTAAATTTAGAATATAGGAGTAAGATTTTAAAATACCAATAATCAAGTCGATAATGTTTATGGCCAAAAAACAGTGATTAATTGTTCAAAAGTATTTTGTACATTAAGACGGTCATATAAAGACAACTTTTGTATAATTTTTTTATACAAATTTTATAAATCATTAAATAAATAAATACACTCAATTATAAATTCAAAATAAATAAAAAAAATTAATTATTTAAATAACACATAAAATTACACAAAATTGTAATATTATAAATTGTCCTTAAATTATTTTTCTTGTATATATAGGTTTGCAATAAACTATGAAAAAAACGAAGAAAAAACTATACCATGCATGCACCAGCTAAGTTTGCAATTTGAAACATCTAAGTACCAGCCTACCAGAAAGGTCCAGAACCTCCCAAAAAATCTAACCCTTTTTTTTTTTTCCTCTCTCTTTGAAACTAGGCAGCAGGGGGTTTCAAATAAGAAAAACTTGTCTGAAACCAATGTGAATATTACTTAGAAATAGCAGGAGCTGGGATTATCCCCCACTTCCGTCGAACGTCTTCTAAATCTTCATGAAAGTGCCTTTCATAATATACACACATGAGATCTGTACATTGTACGCCCGCCTTGACTGCCCAGGGAAAGTATTGTTGGAAGAACAATGTTCTCTGCTTCTCACTGAACCTTGCAGTTCCACCAACAACAGAAAGTATACACATGGGAAGGTACATTTGCTCAAACTCGATAACCTTGAGTGCCGATTCACCGATTAAATTGGTAGGTAAGCCAAATAGGGTGTGCCAGAAATCATGCACTTCACGAGCACGCATAGCCACATATGCCAGCTCATCTGTGTCCATGAAACGCACCGGCGGCCTATCATCTGGAGAGAAGTTCCTAGATCCCATGAAGTTAGCATAGGCAGCACCAAAAGTATTCGGTGGCAAGTCCCATGCATGCCCCACTTTCGAAGATATAACACGTGGTCGCTCTAGAAGTACTGCCTGTTAAAATGTAGAAGTGTTGGTTATAAATGCAAAATGACAACATCATTGATACCAACTGGTAAGCAATTCAGGTACTAAAGAACTGAGCTCAAATAATTGTTGTCTCTTGTGTCATTTCATTTACAGCAATCTAGAATATAAAGACAAAAAGAATATTTTTAATATTTTCTTCTCTTTCTTAGCTACCACAGTGCCTTGTCTTATTGTTCATAGCAGTATACTCTATACTGTCAATCACTGCTCTACCCTTTTAAAAGCATCAAAACCAATTCACCAATAAACCTAAGACCATGGTCTTTTCTATGGTCTTAGGCCATTCAAACCAAAACTCAAACCCCGAAAAGCCTTTCTAACCAGTAACCCTTCACAAGAGCTTGTTGATAAGAGTTTTTAACACAACTGTAATTAATTAAGGTTAGTGTAAAGGTGGAACAATACTGACAATATGTGAAAGCATGATGCTAGTACTCACCTAGGTCGCCAGTAGGCAACACAATGACAAGAAAGAATATAATAGACATAGAAAGCATCCACTACAAACTTGGCACACTAAATGCTTCATAAAACTAGATAACAGCGCAAATTATAACAATGGAGCCCCAAGTAACCCAATTCCCTGAGCAGACACTTTAGAGTTTATAAATTACAGAGATCACAATGCCCTAAAAGAAAGACATTCAAGAAGTGGTTTTCAGCACTAACGAATGATGAAAGTATTAGAAGAGTTAAAGCAATAAAAGTTCATCAAAGGGCCTAAATGAAGAATTCATAAACGAGCATCAGAGTAAAGCAAAAGCTGAACTTTTCCACAAAACCAACCCAAAATGCAAGACAAATTATAAAATTCCTAAAGTTTTTACATTCAACATTTCAGACCTTGAATCCTTCAAAAATCCATAAAACCCAATACTCAAATCCCATCAATACGTATGAACAAAACAATCAAAATGTAGAAGGAAAGAAGGCATTCTAAGCTACTTATTCCATATTTCCATGATAGACAAAGACAGGGCTACAATAACAGTATAACAAAAAGAAATTATTACAGCACAACTACAGCTCAACAGGAACCATAACCCCAAGCATTCATAAAGCACAAACATAACCTGGATATTCAATTATTTCAGAAAAACTAAACATAATATTGGGTGCAGATTTCTGAAAGAGAAAGAGAGAAAAAATGGGAGAGAAAGATACTGATAAAAGAAAAGACTAACTTTTCCTTCCGGGCTTCTCTTCATCCTTTCAAGAACCCTTTCAAAAGCAGGCTTCCCTGTTGTTTCCCCAAGGGCTGCTATTAGATCTGCTCTTCGTGGGTCCAGCAGCGCACCAACAGCTGAACCAACTGCAACAGCTGCCTGTTGCCAAGGGCTCAGCTTGATACGACCACTTCCTATCATTTTTCTCCTATAATCAAGAATCCAACAACAGTACTCACAAAACGCAATCAGGAATGCTTGTTGACGACCACTTAAAAATTAAAATTATTAAAGGTGTGAAAGATTAAAAAAATCGGAGTCACTATAAGGTGGGACAAGTCAAAATCAGGGAGATGGGTGGAGGAGTCTCGATTTTTTCTTTTTTTCCCGTAGCTGCCCTGGTTTTTCTTCTCCGAATCAATGGTGAAGCGGGAATCCGAGAGAGAATGCAGCCAAGCTCGTGACCAGATGAGAGTCGGGGTTCATCCAAGGGGGTAACAGTTGTATAAGAAAGAAGATTTTTGTGTGTGTGTGTGTGTGGCTGCTCCCCTAAAATCAGAAAAAAATGGAACCCTTCCCCTCTTCAGTGGCTGTGGCTATACAACAAGATGAATGCTCAACAGTTTCAGGTCTTGGAAGGAAAATGCCCAAGAGATGATCGGCAAAGATGGTGGTGAGATGGAAGTCCAGCGGGTTGGGGTGAGGCTAACGGTTGTGAGGAAGAAGACTCTAGGGATTTTTTTTTTTTTTTTTCTGAATTCCCCTTCCCCTTTTGTGCGGCTAGGCCGCTAGGGTTTCCATAAAGTATTTTTTTGGGTCGGAATGGACAAGACGTTTGTTTGGGCCCAAATCAAGACCCGCTGATTTCTTTCTGTTTTGTTTTTCTTTTTTCTTTTTCGTTTCTAATTTCCCTTTTTTTCTTTTTTTTTTTTCTTTTTTCGTTTCTTTCTTCTCTCTCTTTTTCTCCTTTCTTCAACTCTTCAATTTTTTTATCTTGATGGCCTCCACTTAAAAATGGATTCTGTCACGTAAAAGTAAATACATTAAGATTCATAAAATGTAATTTTTAAATATTGTAAATATTTGATTTCTTATATAAATTATATTTTTTTTATAAAAATTTAAGTCATGACAATATTAAAAGGTTAAATGCTAAATTTGGTCCCTCAACTTTAGTAAGTTGCACAATTTTGGTCTCTCAACAATTTTTTACACTTTTTTGATCCCTCAACTATACGAAATGCACTCCGTTAGTCCTTTTGTTAATTTGGACCGTTCACTCTGCTTATGTGTCATTTTTTATATTTTTTTTGATGATGTGGAGGGTAAAATTTAAAAAAGTGATGATGTGCACAAAAACTTTTGCCATGTCATGCTACCGTGGCCAAAACGCGCCAAATCCGTACACGTGGGTCCCACATCACCACTAAGAATTGCTTCTGTCCATTGATTATTGTTTCTGTTCTTTCCATCGACGAAAAATTGCTTCTGTCCATTGATTACTGTTTTTGTTCTTTCCATCGACGATGTTCTTTCCATTTTCAAGATTGAAATCATTTAAACAATACTTCAAAAATATGAAGAAAAAAATCCCAAAAATCACTCACAACAACCT